CTAGGGTCGCTACCTTCAGCCTGAGTCCAGACTCTGACTTCTCGGCCCGTCTGGTGCCCTGAGCTCTGGGCCACCACCATCTACCTACCACCTGGATTATCAAGTAGCCTCCTGGGCCTCCCGCCGCCTCCCTTGCAGGCTGTTCTCCTTTACAACCCACACCTCCAATCCTGGGTGTTCCCCATCTCAGATAAGAGCCCCCAGACCCTGTACTTCTTATCTCCCCCACCCATTTTGTATCACACATTTATTCCCTGCTTTTGTCCCCTTGCCCACCACAACAGACAGTATTTTTGGTCCTGACTGTATCCCTAGCACCTGGATTGGTGCCAAGCACGTTCCAGCTGTTCAGTGAGAGCCCCCACAGCCAGGGCTCTGGGCTGGAAGGGCCCCAGACATACAAGGTGTACACCAAGAGCTTCTGACTTTGGGAACTGTGTCCTGGCGACTTGCCCTTTCCTTTGGGCATTGTGTCACAGAGAGTAGATCCCCACATAGATCCCCTGCCCCTTACCTCTTCCTGCTGTCTAGTGGGCCTGGGCCTGTGTGGTCCAAAGACCACAGTTCCCCCTACCGTGGGGTCAGTTCATTTGCACATCTGACTCTGTGGCCTCCCTGCTCCCAAAGCCTTCCACAGCCCTGGCCCATCAAACCCACACTCCTCCCTGCAACAACTCAGGCTCTTACGAGCCCAGGGAGGAGAACAGTACAGGGTTACCTGACGAAGCTGGGGTGAAAAAGAAGCGCTAGGAACAAAAGGCCCAGCCTGGCCTCCCAAGTCTGTGGACCCAACAAGGTGTCACGCATGAACCCATTACCCACATGAGTGAAACTCTGAGTCCTGGGGAGCCTCTCACTTGCGAACAGTTTAATTGCTCAAACCCGTGAGGCCAGCCCCCCATAGCCCAGAGGCCGCATGTGAGCCCCGGTGCTGCGTGCCCCTTTCCAGCCTGGCCCTGTCCCGCAGGTCCTGAGGCAAGCTATCAGTTTTATTTTGTCCCATTTGCCAAAGCCCACCTGTGTCCCCACCCCCTTTGCTCCTGGCTTCCAATCCAGTCACTGACTGGGAACAAACACCTTTATAGGTAAACCCGGGAACAGGATACAGGTCAAGGGAAATTAATCTGCTGGGTGTTCTGGGTTACACATCACTGGGACAGCACATGAGAGAGGTCTACACCGGAAGCTCCCCGCTAGCCTGGCCAGAATTACCCCCCGAGTTTTCCTCAAGTGCCCAGTGCACAGGAAGTGCTCGATGAAGTGGGGTAACATGTCCCAGGGTGTGGTGGTAATGAAAAGGCCCCGTGGTTTAAACAAAACAAAACAAAAAACCCTGAGTCACGTGCCACAATGCACCAGCACCTGTATCTTTCACAGCGTCTCTGGCCAAGAAACCCAGACTCCATTCTGCATTACCAGGGCTCCTGAGCCTCTCGAAGTCCTGACAGTCTGGGAGAGCTGGTCCCTTTCCATCATGTTTAAAACTTTAAAAAATTGCTACATATGCATATAGTTGTAGGAATGGTAAACACATGGCTCACCACATTCCTGTCCTCCATCCCCAGAGAAAACCACTGAACTTAGCTTTGTCCTCTGCATTTACCTCCACATTTCTAGGTAACGTGCTTCTACTGAGCTCTTGAATTTTCAGTTTTACGCATCATCTGCTGGATTCCTACTATGGTCAATGAGAACTTCGCCCCATCATGCTCTGCACATACGTTCCCGGTCCCCTTAGGAGAGATCTGCTGTCAGTTTTTGCCAGAGCAACATGCATCATCTGTGTGTTCATTATTCCTATGTAATCACAGCGGAGTCATGTAAGGCCTATGGTTCCTCTTCCTTAGTATTTCTGTGGCATTAATAAACGGTGTATTTTTACTTGCTTAACTTTCTCTGTCAGACTCCTGCCCGACCCCTGGGACAGAAGCTTGGATCAAGTGTGGCGCCTTTCAGCCCTACCGGACAGCAGGCAGACCTCAGCCCTGGCTGCCCAGTGCAGTCACTTCCCGGCACTCTCCAGTGTCTCCAGGCCTCCACATTTGTCTCTGCTTATTCCTCTTTTCCTGGAGCCCTCCTTCGGGCAGCTTTGAGAATGGGTGCAAAGGAGGGGATTTTGAGGCCACTGCAGACTTTTCCTGGGGGCTCTCTCGCTCTGGCACCTGCTTGGGGTGCTCTCTCTCGGTAAGCCCCTTTGGAGGAAGCAGGTTCTCGGTTTGCCTCGACCACCTCCTCCCACACCCCCTCCCCATGGTGGGCTTCCTGTTCCTCACTGCCACTTCCCTCCACCACCGGTCTTCTTGCCCTAGGCTCCTGCTGGCATGAACAAAGCCTCCCAGATCAGCAGCAGGGACAAGGGGTTGCACTGCCAGACGTGGTGTTTTCCAAGGCCACCAGACTCCTGTGCTCTCCCCATCCACCTGTTCGCCTCCACACGCACTTCTGAGTTCCTCGAGAATTGCTCATCTTCAATGACAACTGTGCGGTCAACACTCTGCCTTCAAGGCGGTGAGGAGGGATGCTACCGCTTCCCTGCCACACACATGCCACATGTTTTTAGACTACTTAAGATGAATATAGCAAGTGCCTCCTCTACACCAGGGCTCACACAGCACATACACCATGCTGCTCCTCCCTTGCGAGGGGTCGGGGTCCCCAGACTCTGCCCCTCCCAGGCCCCAAGCACGCCCAACCCACACACCACAGAGGGGCCATGAGGGCCAGTGCCTGTTTCTTCTCATCTCCCCCACCTACGTAACCGTCCTGCTGCCAGCAAACATACCATCCCGTAGGCCCTGTGACCTCCAAAGGCACAAGCACTCCCAGAAACAAGGGGAGCAGCTGTGGAGCCTGGAGGGGGAGCCCAGACAATGGAGAGGCTCTCTCTGCACACAAGAGCCACCTGCTTCCCTGCCACACCTCATCCAAGCTCCAGCCAGAGAGACATTTCACCATTTTTCTAGCTATACAGGTAGCACTTAGGAAAACTAGCAAAACAGAGAAATCCAAACTTTCATACGATTGGTTTAATTTTTTTTTCAGCAGGAAAAAAAAAAAGAATAAAGTTACAAGATTCTTTTAATATTTTCACAATGTTAAAACTAAAACTGAGCTCTAGGCTATGTGTGTAAGTAAATCTAAAACACAAAAGGGTTAAATAAGATCTTCTCTTTTAAAGATACAAGAATTTAAGCTTTCCTTACATTTAACAAACTTCACAGAACAGATACTGCAGGGGAACAAGCCCTCCCCCCACCCCCAGCTCTACCATCAGGAAGTGAACATGGGCTGCGAGCCCTGTGTGCCACTGGGCTCCCTGGAGAGCCTGCTCCCATCCCTGCCTCGAAGCAGCAGCGGTGGGGCCTGAGGAGGGCCGGAAGGGCACGGGGGGGTGGGGGGGGGCCTCTTCGGGATCAGAGCTTGGCGGGGGCCTAGGCGGGCCGCCTCACTGAGGATGGCCATGTACTGGCCAGAGGGCCGTGGCTTGACAACAGTGGTAAACGCAGGCAGACCCGGCCCCTCTGCCCTGGGCTGCCCTAGAGCAAGACACCGGTCTGGGTCCTGAAGCAAGAATAAGGCTGGAGATTTTGCAGCGGATTCCACTCTGGTGGGGGTAGGATGGGAGGAAGAGGTTGGTAAGAGCATGATTTCCTATTTCAGTATTCCGGATCAAAAAACATTTGTAGTTGCAGGTGTTTGGCTGTGAACTGCAGAGTCGAACTGTTGGTTGTGGTATAAAAGGGAAGGTTTGCTGGGTTAAGCTATTCCAGGAGCTTGTGTGTGGGCAGATCCAAGCCACCTCTGCAGGAGCCTGGGACTCTCACCAGCCTGGACCAGACGGGGTCTCTGGCCCATTCAACCCTGTTCAGGCCTTCCAGAGAATCTTAATCCTGTCTCCCCTCCCCACCCCCACCAGATCAGTGATGATTCCCTAACTCGGGCAAACAGGCCCATATCCACCCTCCTCACCTGGCCTGAGCTACCACGGCTACCGACTCCTCTCTACCCGCAGGAAGAGGCACGGGCTGAGAAACATGGCCTCCCACCCCCAGTGCGGAGCAAATGTCTCACTCAGAACTGGGCCATGCCACTGTTCTAGACAGATCACCCCGTTGCCCCTGTCACGCAGGCTGCCTCCCCTTCCTAAACTTGCTATGTGGTAGAGGTCGTCCCCTGAACTATGGAGCTGCACAGACGCAAGGGGCTGGGTCATGGCATCGTCTTCTTAGCCCAGAGAGGGCTGGGCAGGCAGCCACTGGAGGGGGCAGAGGCTGTGGGCGGCAGCGTCCCACATGCTCCCCCCCAGCCCTTCTACTGATTCCCGTTGGCTATGAAATGTCTTTTTAAAAACTCCCAATATAGAAATCTAGCTGCAGAGGCCAGTCCGTAGATCCCAGCCGCAGCTGCTGTGCTGTAATTAGCCTTATTTGATCAATTGCCAGATCCCTGCACTTGGCAAATGGCAAACCAGAGCCAGTGGGGTCAGGGTGCGCCCCTGGAGCTTCTCATGACCGTGGGTCCTGTATAGAAAAGATGGGTCTCGTACATGGACTAGTCTTCAGTGGAGCTAATTTTCAAAGTGAGGTTATTGTTTCTCTTCTCGTGTGCTGAGAGAGTTTTTTTCATAGCAAGTCAGGTAAAAAATTTTCCTAAGAACCTACCCCCCCACCCCCATTTCCAGCTCTGTGGGAGAGCGAAGCCACCACCCAGCCCAGCCACGTGGCCAGTCTCAAAAGCCTCCTGTGGCCAAGGCACGCGTGGCCATCAGGTATCCTGGCTACTGGGACTAAGGATAAGTGAAGAGGTGAAAGGCCGAACATTAACCAGAGTTTCTGGCAAAGCCATGTGCGTCATGGGAACTTTAACACCAGCTTCTACTCCTCTATTAACTCAGAGTCTCCATCTGGAACACTTTCCGCTTAAGGCTTTTTATAAGTTTGACTCCAGCAGTGACAGGTATGTGTTGTTTTAAATCCACTAGCCATGCTCAAAAAAAAAAATATTCTTCATGTTTTAATTTTATACAATGGCTAGCAGGCACCTTAGTAACCAGCCAGAAATCAATTTCAACCACCATCAACCCCTAAACTACAGTACCAGGACGGCTGGCTAAAGAAAGGAAACGGACTGGCTGTAGTCTGACGCGTGCCCAGTACAAGGTGTCTGGCTGACTTTGTCCTAAATAAGGCTAACATTAGTGAACTAAGAACAGCGTCATGTGGCGGCCATGCCTGGCCTTCAGGAGCACCCCTCCCCAATGCGCTGGCAGGAGCGCCCCACTTTCCGGTCCAGTTTCACCATTTTCATGATGGCTTCCTCTCGGCCGCGGCCCATGTGGTCGAACGTACAGTCATGCTGCTCGGGGAGGCGATGTAACATACAGAACACATAACCTGCAACAGTGGGAGAAGCAGAAAAGACACACAGTTAGGGTGGCCTCCGAACGCACAAAGCCCAGCGCTCATTCTGGGCTGGAGGGCGGGAGGACAGCCGCCGCCAGTAAGGAAGGGGGCCTGTGCCTTCCCATCTCCCAGCTCTTCCTCCAGTCAGTCCGGGGGCCTCTCAATGTCCAAGCGTGGCTGCTCAGACGCTGACTCTGCATTCAACGCTGCTCCTGCCTGAATCCTGAAAGTGGAACCCCAAAGATGACTGGTGCAATGAGACGCACCCCCTTTCCCAGGAGATGAGTGGGTTCTGAGCCCCCTCCTTCCCCACCAAACAGGGGAGAAGGCAGAGAGCGACCAGCTCAGCACTTTCCCAGCTTAGGCAAACTGTAACATACACCACAGGACACCCACCACTTCTGGGAGGCAGGGAGGGAGCAGAAATGATTATGGCTTAAACTACATTCTACCTCCTGTATGGTGAGGGCTTAGGGAGATGGTGGGTGTGCTCAAACCACAGCCTACAAGGGAGTGGAGGCTCTCAGAACAAAATGGATTTCAAGCGCTGGAAAAGGTATACGTGTAAGTAGGGGGAAGTACAGAAATGTTGCCCTCTAATCGCCAGTCACCTCAAAGGAACCTGATGCTTCTAACTCCACCTGGTAGGTCAGGAGGCTGCAGGGCTGCTCCTCTTTCTGGAGCGGAGAAGTCAAGGGAGACACTGATGAGGCAAGCAGAACAAAGGACCCAGGAGAGGCCCAGAGAGAAAGGAAATGGTACAGGTGAAGTCTCTCTGGAGGAAACAGCAAGAGGAGGCCCTCAGGGAGTCAGCGGGAAGCTCAGAGGACAAAGGCAACACAGAGGTGCCAAGGATCTGGCCCTTTCCCTTTCCATTCTGCTCAATTTCAAACTGCTGATGGGTGTATGGATGTGTGTTTGGGGGGTGGGGGTGAGGAGACAGACAGCTGATGTCACCTATGTCTGTCTTGCCCCCTCTCTCAGGGAGGGGGAGGGGAGATCCAGGCTGGGAAGACACCTGCCTGTGCTGGCTGGCCCCCTGTCCCCATTCACACCGTCAGTCCTATGTGGCCATACTTCCAGGCCCCACGGGCCTACACCAGGTCCATAGGACCGACCTGTAGGCAAACCTTCCCTAAACCTCCTCTCCCTGGGCGCCTGGGCAGGCATCCCACAGCAGCCCTTCCAGGCCAATGCTCTTTTCACAAACAACATCTCCTCCCAGAGACGACTTATTTTTTTCTCCCCGAGACTTCTTTTACGCCTAGATCTCACTGCCCAGAGTGAATGACCTCTTGTAAAGCACGGTACATCCATGTCTACATCCTCAATTTCTTTTCTTTTCAGAGCTGAAGGGTGGAGGCAGTGATTTTAGAAGAACAGCATTAGTTGAAGCAAGGATGAGTGGCCAGGACAGGCAACAGTTGTTAAGATTCACCTCATCTAGAGAACATTCTTCAGCTGATAGAACCCTGTTCAGATGCCTTGAGCTCACACTGTGTACAGAACACGTGCACATGGCCCGGGGGGCCTGAGTGACCAGGCTGAGCCTGGACCATCCACTGTGAGAAAAAAACGCATTATTAACTGCTTCCCAGGGAGAGCAGGGCAATGTTTGGCTCTAAATTAGGACTGGGATTAAGGAAAAGAAAGAACGCAGATGAAATTTTTGTCTCCCGAGAAGCCAAGCTCCCCCTTGGTCCAAAAGCAAAGTTAAGATTAATGAGCTCATGTGTTATATTTACTGATAAGTTCATTACTCGTAGATACCGGATAGCAGTTGTCTTTGTCCTAAAGGACTTCCCAGCCTAAGCACGGATGGCCTCGATACGCATCCTCCATCTAACAAGCACAGCTGCCTTTCGGGAGCAAAGCCCACCTGGAGGGGGAGAACCTGCTGCTAAGGTTGGGGCCTGGGGTGGGGTACCACAGTATGGTGGCATGATGTGTGTGAGGATCTAGGCGTAAAAGAAGTCTCGGGGAGAAAAAAAAAAGTCGTTATGTTATGTTATGTTACCAAGTCCTGACACACTTCTATAACCTCCGCACCTACAATAAGGGGTGGGAGAACCCCTGCTGTCCCTTCCCTTCCTTTTTTTTCAAGATGCTGGGATGATGCAGGAGAAGGTCCCAGGTGCTCTTCTCTACTTCTGACAAACGGTGCTGGCTGAATCAAAGTAGCAGGAAATGGATTACTTCTGAAATTAACTTGGCCCTGGCTCAGCCTAACACCTCATTAGTCAAAGGCAGACTGGGGTGGAGGGGAGAGGCTGTAGTCTTGTTCTTACCACACACCCCCACAACCTTGATTAGCGCTTGCCTTCCGCTGGCTAGAGAGCTGCCACCTCAGGGGATCAGAGAACCCCAGGCTCCATCTGGAAAAGGAAGCAGGCCGTGACAACCACAGCAGCTGCCTGATACACTCTCTCCCGGCCTGAGGATCCTCCAGCCAGCCAGAAACACCTCGTTTCTCCATTCGAGTTCTGTGTACCTCTGTTAGACACAACTTGACACTTGGCTTTGATTTCTACAAGGTGAAAACCACTACACAGCAGCTACACTTGGGAGCGGCATGGGTAACAATTAGAATATATGGCACTGTCATTCACTACAGAAAAGTCTCGGGAAATTCCGGAAGGCTAGCTGTCCAAGTTGCTGCACTGAGGTTATTAGCTGACATAAATTAAGCTCAATCCCCTCTTCTGTCAGGATCATTCTCCAAAAGGAAGTTACATGCTGGAACTTGTCCCAAATGCTGAGTAGACATTATCCATTGACAGCAGCCAGTTGGCTAAACGCATGGCTAAACACATGTCCATGTCAGCGCTGGGGAGAGGGCGGCTCTGGATACAGGGGAGGGCAGGAATGACTGGTGGGTGGGACGAATCTCTGTCCTTTTCTTGGTACCCACAGGTCTGTTACCAGAAACCTCTGCAAGTGTCACGAACTCTCAATTACTCTCTGATTGAATTCTGTAGACCAAGCTGGATATGGAGAAATGAGTTCAGGCTGCTGGGGAAGATGACTGTTCCTAATTTCAATGATGAACACCATTTTAAAGCACAAGGGGATTTACAGCCTCTATCTGTACCAGACGATTCTCCACACTGTTTGTTCATTAGCAACCAATTGGGACCTTTCCAGAGAGGGTCAACCAAAGCAGTGTCTGGAGAGACGAAAGCACAGAGGACGTGAACTGGCCAGCTGAGATGCAGTATGAGTTTGGTGTCATCCCCCAGGGTACCCATACAATTCTTTTTTCCCTGATTTAAAAAACGATGTATCAAAATTGGAATCACTCACTCATGTGCATATGTAACAGTCCATATCCATGTGCTCCTTATGGCCCCAAAGTTCAGTGACACACGGTTTGAAAAATAATTTCAATATACTTTTCCCTACAATAACTATATACCACATAGTACTTTAGAGGGATGAGGAGGGATCAGGGGGTGGAGAATATGATTAAAAGGACACTGATCCCTAAAATAGAAGGAAAACACCCAAAGCAAAGCTTTTGAAAATATGATCTGCCTGCTAAATGTGCTTTAACTTCAGCCCTTTCCTTGTCATCTCATGTGACTGGCTGCCCTGCTCCTTACAGCCCCAGATTACTGGTTTTCCATGACATACTGGCCTGGGAGGCAGCTGCAGAGCTCCTGTAAGGCCACCAGCGTTGTCTTCAATAAACCTGCACAAAACACTCAAGAACCTGTGTGGGCGTTTTCTTTGTTTGCTGACACTGAAGAGCAATTTGGGATGAGCCCTTGATTAAAAAGGGAGGGTGAAGAAGGCTCTCTGAGCACTTTGTTCTATAGCCTACCTTCCTTCCATGGCCACTCCCTGGCTTCTGACAGGCCATCCTGTATGTAGAAAGAGGGACAGCAGGCCGACTACAGGTGATATCAATCAGCCCCTCCCTGGCTGCTGAGCTAGAAGGTCTCCAGCAGCTACACCCTCAGTCTGAAAAAATCTTGAACTAAGCAGCCAGCATTAGGAGAGAAGAGGCTGCCTGCCTAGATGCCCCAGAGGCTGACCTACCTGGGCTCATCCTGGGTTGCCCAAGTCTGTGGCTGTGGACAGCGAGAGATGGGAGGATACCAGAAGCTTCCCTAACTCTGTCACTATCACAGACGCAGGATTATAGCAGACAGCAAGAAAACATAATTTGAGGACTATCTAACCCTCTGTCCAGAAAGGCTATATCCCGCATGAGAAATACAAAGCGCTCCTGATGTGGACCTGGGGCCTGTGGCAGCCAAGAGCCATATGCCACATCAGCCTGAAGACACCCAACACCCAATGGCCCTGAAAACACATTCAACACAAAACAGAACTGAGGCTCATTTCTCCAAGATCACAAAGATCTGAAGGGTAGCTTTCATTCGGTGGGAACCAAACTTGACCTGACCCTTCAGCTTTTAAAGCTAACATCTGGAAGTCATACTGTTCATCTTAGTGTCCTCACCCACAGTTAAAACCTCACATCTGCTTACACAGGGAGGGGTTTGGGTATCTCGAGACTCAACATACAGGACCCAGAACAATTTGCACAAATGCCGTCATTGAAGATGACAGCCAACACCTTGCTCTAAGTGCTATGAAAGCTGTAACACTGGTTCCTGTTTACTGACTTGTTTACAAAAATCCACAACAATCACTGCCCAAGAGGAACACTGGGAAAGCTTGTCCCAGACCCTGTGTCCTTTATCTCTCACTAGTGCTGGTAGGCAGGGCCCTGAGGGCAGCTGAACCAGATAACAACCGCCTTAGTGGCCAGCTCTGCCCTTCCACGGCCCCCCACCCACAAGCCCGAGGAAATAGCCAAGTACGGGGGGCAGGGAAGGTGGCTGCAGGAGCTGGGGGCAGAGGGAGGGAGGCAACCTTATATCCTGCAAGCAGTGCCCACCCTTGGCTGAGGCCCTGTCTCACCAACACAACCACCCCTCCAAACTCTAAGAATTAAGCAGGGGCTGAACTTTTTTTCAAGG